AAAAAAATTTGCTGAATGAAAAAGACATTAAAAGAGTAAAAGACAAATGACTCACTGGTGATATAAATGTGGCTGTTGTTCTTAGTAGCTTCGCTTGCAACTGTAGAGACTTTTGGAGATTCTCTGATTGTGCTAGTGATGACATCTAGGGATGGAAAAGGAATACTTGAATTGATTTTACTAACCATCTCAATGAACCAAGAGGCATAAACTCATGGTTGCCTTTCAGGGATTATTGGGGAAAAAAAATTTTTTTTAAGCCAGGAGTGGTGGCATGTGCCTTTAATCCCAGGAATCAGGAGGCAATGGGAGGTGGACCTCTATGAGTTCAAGTCAGTCTGGTCCACATAGCAAGTTCCAGGTCAGTGGGGGCTACATGATGACCCTGTCTCAAAAAGACAAAACACAACAGAAAACTTCTGATACACAAAGGTAATGTTTATTCATTATTTTGGCTTCTTTCTACTTCTATCTGGGCTGTTACACATCTTTTAATTATAAAAATATTGCACCTGCCCTCACCTCCCTCAGCTTCCCTGGGCTGCACAACCCGCCAGCCTCTTTCCTGGACCTCAGGGCTAACCTCTGGGTTTCCTGATCCTTTGCATCCAGACCAACCCAGTTCCTCCCCACAGTCCCCAGGAGTCCTTGGGGCCTCTTCTCACCCCCATCTCCCTTTGCATTTCTGGGTGGCACGGCCACCAGCTGCCCAAGACCAGCATCTTTCCTGGGCCCTGCTCCCAGGCCAGTACAACCCACAAATTCCTGAGGCCAAAATCTTTCCTGGAGGGATCCAGACCTTAGGAGAAAACCCGAGAACATCTGATCCTCATCTGACTTGGGTCTCTGTGGGAAGACAAAAGCAATCCCACCACTCCAATATAAAATCAAAAGAGAGAACCGGAAGCTTAGATGAACCAGCTTTTCATGCCCAAAAAGTAAACCACAAAGACACATAAATTTGACAAAAAAGAAGCAGACCTAAACTTGAAGCTTGAGTCTCACACAAGAATCAGGAATTACAAAAGAAATCCACATGTCAAAATCACAGAGAAAAAATAATAACATGAAAAACCAAAATAACATATACCAATAGTCCTCTAGAGGAGTACGAGAGGAGTACAATGAGAACCCCCTAGAGATAATGCAGGACATGGAACTCAAAAGAACAATTATAAACATG